CATGACCCCCAGTGATCCGACTGCACCCAGTCCACTGGGACCCTCCCAAACGAGAAAAGGTGCGTTCTTGGACTGAAGTGGGCTCCTGGTGATCACCGCCTACTCTCCCAAATGCCTGCTGAATGAATAACATCTTTGATTAGAGATTCTGAACCTGAGGTTCATGACCATGCCAGGGGGCCCAAGAGAAGTCTTGGACGAACCTCCTGAAAGTTTACAAAAAGCACCATATGGTGTATATGATACATTTTTTTCTAAAAAGTAATGTATATTTGAATCTCACAGTAACCACTGCAATGACGTAAAGTAATTAGCCTCCAACTAATAAAAATAAAAAATAATAATAATAAAAAAAAAAAGAATCTCACAGTAATGTACTGGGTCTCCAAACAGTTCAAAGTACAATTTGCAGTTTAAATAGCTCCCTTTTAGAACGTCACCGTCACTCTGTATAGAATTCTGAATGCACATATTTCTTCAGAAAATCAAACTGAAGTTTTTCATCTCTAGTCTCCAAAGCCTCCATCACTCTAGCAGGCCTCAGACATCTCCTCTGCTGGTCCCTTCAGAGCCTTGTTTCTGGTGTCAAAACATGCCAGCTTGATTCTTTGATGTCAGTTTATCAAAGGGCTCTCTCAGAGGCCCACCTTGAGACTCCTCTGGCCGTTCCAGGGCTGGAACGTTGAGCTTCTAATTCAGGGGGCACAGGTTCGATCCCCGGTCAGGGAGCTAAGACCCTACATGCTGTGCAGCTAAAACAACAAAAGAAGTCCACCTCACTTGGGTTATCTCAAACACCCTGAAAGTCTACAGCTTCACTTGTTAAATACTGGAAGACTGTGCCTGTCCCTGGTCATCAGGGTTGACGTTCATTCTTCATTCTTTATGTGTTGTATTATACATTGTATCTCTGTCATCTTATTCAATGCCTGAAGATCATTGTCACTGATCAGAATCGTACAAGAATTCACATAAACGCATTGCACGTCCCCCCTGGGTCCAGAGGACAGGCTCAAAGGACGCGAGGACAGACAGAGCTGATCCTGCCCTCGAGGAGCCTACGGACCAGTGGAGGACGGACAAGCAAGCAGACACTTGCAACAAGAATGGTAAATGCTCTGACGGAAGAGAAGAGGAAACTCTGGGAGAAAAGGAAAGGACCACCCACCCTGCTGGAGGATAAGGAGCTGATGGCCTGGGTGGTCTCCAGGAGAGGGGCTGCCAGCCAAGTCTAAGAAAAAACATAAGTCAGACCAGACCCAAGAGGACACGGAGGAAAGTCAGGGTGAGGAAACAGCTTCACATGCCTGAATTTACACACTGCATGCATACGGTGCACATCAAACGTGCATCACACGCGCAGAGGGAGTGGGTGACTGCCAAGAGATCACACTGAAGACAGAGGTGAAGGGCAAGTCCAGAGCTCCCGTGTACGTCAACACTGTTCTCAAAAGGAAAAACCAGGAACTCACTGTGCACTCTTCCAAAAAGCACTGCATTTTAGAAAGACCATTTGATACAGGACAGTGACAAGACAGGGCGCCTGGGGGTGGGCAGTACTTGTCTCATATGAGACTCACAGAAAGCTGGGACCAGAGTCAACGTGGGGCAAACAGTGGGAGCTGGCCTGGAGACACCGGCAAGTGGGCAAAACCCATGAAGCAGGGAGGGGGACGGGACCTGGGGCCTGACCAGCATCATCAATGAAAGGGGACGATGGCTCTGTCCGGGGTGACTGGCCTGTGTGGCTCGGACGACCAGGGACCCCATTTTAGCGGAGGACAATGGCGGAGGAGCGGGCCTAGGAGGGGAGGGGAGGAGATGCTCAGTCTGAACTAGTGGACTTGAAGGGGCTCTGTGAGACCACAGAGCAGAGAGGTGCGGTAGAGAAGCGTGGGATTTAGGAGAAAGGCCCAAACAGGCTGCAGATGTGTATGGAGCGGGGGAGGCACCAGAGTGGATGAGGTATCCCAGGGAGGCCGAGGGGAAGCCAGAGGGCAGAGGGACACACCAACGCTGCTGAAGGGAGGCAGTCAATGGGACCGCAAGGGAGGCAGGTCAGAGGGGCCAGGAGGCCGGCATCAGACTCCAGGACAGTACACTCATCAGAGCGAGGGTGAGCAACCGCTCACAATGACACGAAGGCCTGGGGAAGGCTGAAGGCCACAGACTGCACGGTGGAGCTCCCAGAGGCCTCTGGCACCCCGGCCAAGCTTCGTCCTCAGAGCAGAGCAGAGGCGCCTCCACACCGCCTGGGCCCGTGGTGCAAGAGCCCTGAGAGACGCAGGTTCGAGCCTGGGGTGGGGAAGACGCCCTGGAGGAGGACACGCCACCACTCCCGTGCTCTCGCCTGGAGAATCCCTGGGCAGAAAGGCCTGGCGAGCTGCGGTCCATGGGGTCTCAAAGATGCTGACCGACTGAGCGACTTGGCGCAGGAGAACATGGAGATGGTGAGCGTCACCCGCTCTTTCAAGAAGTTAGGTGGGAGAGACATGGGAAAGCGGGGGAGAGCAGGTGCGGAAACGCGACTAACACCTACTGGCTGAGGAGAGGAGGGGCGGAAACGCGACAGACACCAACTGACTGAGGTGAGGAAGCGCGGAAACTCACAAACACCTAGTGACTGAGGTGAGGAAGCGCAGAAACCCGACAAACACCTAGTAGCTGAGGTGAGGAAGCGGAAACGCGACAGACACCTACTGACTGAGGTGAGGAGGCCCGGAAACTCGACATACACCTAGTGACTGAGGTGAGGAAGCGGAAACTCGACATACACCTAGTGACTGAGGTGAGGAAGCGGAAACTCGACATACACCTAGTGACTGAGGTGAGGAAGCGGAAACTCAACAAACACCTAGTAGCTGAGGTGAGGAAGCGGAAACGCGACAGACACCTACTGACTGAGGTGAGGAGGCGCGGAAACTCGACATACACCTAGTGACTGAGGTGAGGAAGCGGAAACGCGACAGACACCTAGTGACTGAGGTGAAGAGGCGTGGAAACTCTACAAACACCTAGTAGCTGAGGTGAGGAAGCGCGGAAACGTGACAGACACCTACTGGCTGAGGTGAGGAAGCGCGGAAACTCACAAACACCTACTGGCTGAGGTGAGGAGGACGGTCCGTCCCTGGCCCCGCCGGCCGGAGGGGAACGACCTCCACAGACGCCAGGGCGGCCTCCTCCTCTGCGTCCTGCCGGGCGCCAGCGGAGCTTTTGTTCCCTGCCCTTATCCGGGGTGAACCTTTAAACCGAAACCAGGGCGTGTGGCGGACGGCAGCCCCGACCCCCGCCGCCCCGGGCCCCCGTCCCGCCCCGCGGGGTGCCGGCTCCGAGGCGGCCCGGCCGGACTACGCGGCCCCCGCTCCGGTCCCAGAGGAGAGGCTCCGCTCGGCCCGGGGGAGGCACAGAGGCCCGCGGCTCGGGCGCGGACCCGGCCTCCGGGGGGCGTCTCCTCCGGGGCCAGGCGGAGGACCCCCGAGAGCTTCGCCATAACCGATGGCTTAAAACAACAAGCCGGTCCTCCCTGCACAGCCCTGGTTCCGCAGGTAACGCACAAAGCGCCCGGCCGGCCCCAGGACGGAGCCCCGCGGACCCCGACCCCGCTGCGCCTGGGGCGCCCATCGCCCGGAGCCGCGGCGCCACCGCCCCGCCGGGACCAGCGGCCGGGTCTGCAGAAACGGGGCGCGCGTTTGCAAACCCCGACGCTCCCGGGCGCCCAGGCTGGAGGCGAGCCCCGCTCCGCGTCCCGCGCGGGGAGGCGCCCGGAGGATCCCGGAGCCCGGCCCAGCCCGGCGCCCACCTACCCGCTCGGCGCGGCGGCCCATGCTGCTGCGGCCCCGCGCGGCCCCGCCGGCCCTGCCCCCGGCCGGCCGCCCGCCTCCCGGCCTCCCCGCGCGGGGCCGCCGTCCCGGGGCCCCGGCGCCCATTGGAAGCCGGCCTCCGGCAGGACGCGCGCATGACCTTTGCCTGGAGCGGCCCCGGGGGCGCAGACGGGGCGTCCGGGGGCCGCCGCCCCCACCCCGACGCGCCGGGTTAATGTTCGTCTTTCAGGGAGACTCCATGGGGTCTGACTTGCCATTGCTCCTGCATCCGGCCCCGGCCTCTCCCCGGGGTTTCCTGCCGCGCGGTTGGTGAGTTCCCTGAATTAGCATTTCCAGGTTAAACGCGGGCAGTGCCTCCCATAAAGTCCTCTCACACTCCGGGAAATAATACCCCCAATTTCTCCCCCTGAAGCTTGCAACAGTTGACAAAGACCTTTGGACAATCAGCCTGTCAGTTGACCTCCCAAACAATGCCAGGAAGGCTCTCCTACGACTACCATTCTACACAGAATGAAAAAGCAGCTCCAGAAAAATAAGATATTCACCCAATCACCCAACCAGAAAGTGAAATCTGCTGGGGTTTTTCAACCACATCCTGGGTGCACCCACAAAGCACCCACCACCCTGCTGAGTGACCCACCCCACTAACTGAATTATAACACAGAAGCACCTACATAGTGATAATGTGTAATAACATAGAGCAAAGATAACTATTCTAATTTTTGGGTTATAAAAGTGTTAGGAAGTGTTAAAAAAAAAGTGTTAAAAGTTAAGGATGTCCACAGATACCTTGAGTTCATAGACTACATTGTTTTATTGTCTGATTTCTCCTCTTTGCCAAATGCTAAAAGGATGCTGCGAGAACCAGACTGGCCACTCTGAAGTGCTGGAACAAGCCCAGGGATTCCTGAGGCTGCTCTGAGTCCATCCCTGGTCTTGGTCAGAGTCTTTTCCCCTCCTTTTTCTGAACCCTTCCAGATGGTGAAATACTGAATGAAAGGGGAAAGGGCTGTGAGACTGTAAAGAGAGCCCTGAACAAGGAGTCAGTGTACCAGAATTTTAGTGCGAGGAGGACAGCTGTGGTGCGGGTCTGCAGAGATGCTCTGGAGACAGCTGGTCTGGAAAGTGGCATCACTCTGATTTTTGCACTGAGACAAGGGGAGAGGGGATGATACTCACACTCAGTCTGGAAGGACTGGAAGGTTTCAGCCAGGAGAAGAGGAAGAAGGACATCACTGACCCGGACAGCATCATGTCCAAAGGCTGTCCTGAGGCCTTTCTGAAAATAGTTCCTGCAGGCGAGAACAGAGGGCGTGGGAGGCTGTGACTGAGGGGAGGGTGTGGTTTGGACTCTGATCTTCTGTGTCTCTTGAGGGGATTTGGACTTCATCCTGCCGAGCCTGATGGGTTACTATGACTGGCTCGGGTTACCAGCTCTTAACATGAGGGTGCAGGAGTCATAGACTATTCTACAGCAAGAAATGTGTATCTGTCTGGTGGTTGTGGGCATTGGCGTCATCAGACAGATACAGTTTCTTCCTTTTCCTAGCTATAAACTGCAAGAAATATATTTAACCTCACTAAGCCTCAGTTTTCTCATCAGTAAAATGGGGATTATGGTATGTGCTATGAGAATTAAATGAAACTATGTAGGTCAAACCCTTTGCCTTTCTTCTGACAGTGACAAGTAGCTACTGTTATCCTTACAAGTACTTTATTGTGTATGTGCAGGGCTACCATGGAGTAACAAGGAACTAGCTCCCTTCTGATGCCTTCCCTTCTTCCCATTATGCTTGTTTGGCTTTTGACTCTTTAGAGGCCTTCTGCTTTTTTCCTCCTTCTCGACATCACTTCCTTCCTTTATGTCCCGGTTTTATGACTTTAATATCAGTTTCATCTTAACTCACTTTCCTGTTCAGTTTGTTTGTTTGTTTCCCGGTCCAACCAGGGTCAGACCATCTCCAAAGCCCCAGCCACGGCATCATGCTCTGTGAGCGCCACACAGCAGCGCATAGCATGTCCACCGGCCCCAGCACCTGTGTGCCCCGCGGCCGTGGCGCGCTGCCCAGCCCCCCGGATGCCTTCAGCACAGCCCAGGCCAGCCCCCCACCCACTCCACAGTCCTTCCCACCCCTCAGAACCCACTCCCGGCCACCTTTCTTTCAGCAGTCTCCTCTTCACCAGCAGAGATCACAGGAACTAGCAGGAGGGGCTCCTCTTCCTGTCCTGGCACCGGAAACTGTATGTCCCGTCTCCAGTCTGCGTGCCACAGAACCCCTCTCTTCTCAGGTCTTCTGGAACATTCTTTCATCAACCATCCCCTTAGCTTTCAGTTTGTTCTCTAATGATTTCATCAGTCTACAAACACATTCAACTGTCTCCCACAGAGCGTGCTCCATCTTTCCTAGTATCGTCTGAATACACGCCTGTTCTTTTTAACAATGACACACACACACACACACACCATGTGTCCACTGCATAGAACATACTTCTTGGTGGATCTTCCAAGGCCAGTTCCTCCTTTAGAACCAAGTTTTAAGTCACCTCTTCACAGAGCCTTTCCCTGACCAGCCGATCCAGGAAGCTGTCCTCTCCCTCGTTATCAGCTATCAGCCTTCTTCACTTCGGTCACATCCTTTACCCCGTGTTGTGATGAGAGATTCCCTTGTTCCCTTACCTGTCTATTTCCTGCTGCTTCCACTAGCCTGAAACTTCATGAGGGCTGGGACCCATCTTTTAGGCTTTCAAAAAACATTTATCGATTATAACCCCCAAGTGCCTCAACCATTTTTGCCTTACTCTTTTATTCTTTATCTCCATTAGGCAGCCTACTGGTTTTCAATATTGACTAAGTGAGAACTCCCTGAGGAGCTCTGAAAAAAATCCTGACACCCAGGGCACTCCCTGGGGTGAGACTCTATTACCAGTTTTTGTTAATTTTGCAGGCAATTGTAAAAGCCAAGCCAGAGACCACAGACCTAAAATGTCTGCCTGACACATGGGTGAGGCTCAGCAAAGAAATAAATGAATGGGGACTTCCCTCAGGATCGAGTGGCTAAGACCTGGCACTCCCAATGCAAGGGACCCAGCTTCGATCCCCAGTCAGGGAGCCAGATCCGACGTGCTGCAGAGAAGATGGAAGATCCTGACTGTTGCAGAAGACCTGCACAGCCAAATAAATCCATATAAATATTTTCTGAAAAGAGAAATGAATGGATGAATGAACGATTCAAGGAATGGGATCATTGAGCTCCTGCTTATCTTGCAATCCGCTTCCCCTTGGTCCTCCTCACAGCATCTCTTATTTGGGCGTGCAAGGCAAACAAGCCCTGTACTCTCGTGGCTCTAAGCTTCAGCATAATATCAGCTCTACCACGATCACCCACAGAGCATCTCAGGTGCCTGAGGCATTTCCCCGTTGCTGGACTCCCAGGAAGCTCTGGTTTGGGCTTAGGACCTTTTCTCTACCAGATCCTCCCCAGTGTCCCCAGGGGGCTCACCCCGCTCCTCGCATGTGTCCCTGTTAGAGTGGTCATGTTGCTGCCAGCAGCTGTGTCGTGATTCGTTTTGACTCGGAGATCGTTGCTGTGTTCATTTTTGTTTTGGGTTTTTTAACAGCCACATTGAGCTATAAATTACATAGCATACAATTCCTCAATTTAAATGGTACAAGTCATGGTTTTGAAGGTATTCACAGAGTTAATCATCACCACAATCAATTCTAGAACATGTTCTTCCCTCAAAAAAAAAAACTTTGCAAGACATTGTAGCCATTAATCATCCATTAATGACTCCCCAATCTCGCAGTCCTAGATGACCACCAGTCTACTTCCTGTCTCTATAGATGTGCCTGTCTTCGACATTTCATGTAAATAGAATCATACAACACCCATTTGTGTGTGTGTGACTGTCACTTCCTTCTGCATCTGAAGACTCACTTGGCCACAGGACCCCTTTCACGTTGAATCAGCGTGGCAGAACGTAGAACGTGGCAGGACTCTGTAGAGTGGTTTGCTCTGGAGAAGAAACCAGGGCAATATTTCTTACATCATGTCACACAGCAACCTGGTAAATCATCTGAATTCCTGAGCTGGAGGAAGGAGGCTCAGGCTTAGCTACCCCTGCCCTCGCAGGAGGAAGGGGAATGGGCAGACTCCAGGTGGGCTCCCCTGACCTCCTGTGCCATGAGGACCCGCACCGAGGACAGACTGCCTGCATCTACCTGAGGTCTGCGTGTGTTAGCTGTCACCTTCAGTCCCGGCTGTGCTCAGCTGTGTCCGACTCTTCGCAGCCCTGTGGGCTGTAGCCCGCCAGGCTCCTCTGTCCATGCAATTCTCCAGGCAAGAACCATGGGTGGGTTGCCATCCCTCCTTCAGGGGATCTTCCCAACCCAGGGATGGAACCCTGGTCTCTTATGTCTCCTGAATTGGCAGACGGTTTCTCTACCGCTATCCCAGCTACCTCGTTTCTAAAAAGAGGATAGAAATAATCCTGGCTTATAAGCAGCACATCGTAGGAACATAATAAATATTAAATGAGAAGATATATTGCAAGTGTATAGCACAGCGCTTGGGAGATTATAAATGCCTGATAAATATTTATGATGTTGTAGTTGTTGATGTCTGACCACAGCTGTTTTCATACTGTTTCTCTAAGTAAAATTTAATATGGAAAGAGGGTTCTGCTGCTTTACAAAAGTAATTAAAAATTTTTCTAGGAAAAATTATTCTAGGAAAGCTTCATACATCATGCGGAGATCCCCCGCCAGATGGTCATGTGCGTTCTGCTTGATGAAAGTAGGGACGGTGGGGAGCAGAAGCCACCGTGAGTGGAAAGTTGCGGGGGGACAGGTGGGTGGAGATGGATTGGGCTCGGTTGTCGCCCCGCGGCATGTGGGATCTTAGTTCCCCGACTGGGGATCGAACCTGTGTGCCCTGCACAGAAGCGTGGGTTGTTAACATCTGGCCCACCAGGGCCGTCCCTGACTTCCCCTCCTGTGAATGGCCTTTCCTGCACATCTAGCAAACCTCTGTCCAGATGCTGCGGGCCCGTCTCTTTCTTGCCTTCCTCCCATCTGTGATGGGACAGCCCGTGTACATGCCCGTGGGCCTGTGTCCAGTCATCACCTGTGCCAATGACTGAGAACAGCTGAAACACAAAGGGCCTTTTATTTTTTTTGAGTGTTTAATGGTTTTTTTTAATTTTTTTTACTTTTTAATTGAAGGATAACTGTTCTACAGAATTTTGTTGATTTCTGCCAAACATCAACATGAATCAGCCATAGGTATACATGTCTGTGTCTCCCATTAACAGCTCTGGGCTTAGCATACAAGGCTCATCCCTCCAATTTTCAGATATATATTGAGAACCTACTATGAGCTGACATTTCAAAATGCAAAGATTTCATAGAAGCCTGGGATTGTCACACAGAAGAATCTTCAGACAAGGAAATGAGACCCAGAGAAGGGTGTATCTCATCAAGTTTCTCCAGAACCTGAGAGGAAAACATTAGGGATTAGAGTCCAACTCTTCCTGACACCTTGCTCTTTCACAGCAGGGATTTTTCTCCCTTTGGTTAAAATAGCAGATTTTCCGAGTGTCCATGTCGATCCCAGATTCCCTCACTGTCTCCTCCCCCATTCTTGCCCCAGCAACCATAAGTTCATTCTCTAAGTCGGATATGTACACTCTGCTGGATTTAGCATGGATAACCAACAAGGTCCTCCACAGGGAACTCCACTCAGCGTCATGTGGCAGCCTGGGTGGGAGGGGAGTGTGGAGGGTGAATGGAAAGATGGATTTGTGTGGCCAAGTCCCTTCTCTGTCTCCTGCTATCACAGCACTGTTAATCAGTCATACTCCAATATAAAATAAAAACTTTTCAAAAAATTAATAAAAGCCAAGAGACCTAAAAAAATAAAACAACAGATTTTTGAACATGGTTAGAAAACTAGAAAAAACATGAACGATTATTTTGTTCATTAATGGTTTTTCCAGATCAAACGGTAGCCCTCAAGCACCACTGAGTTGGAGCCAGAGGACCGGAACACAGACCAAGGCCAATCCTCAGGGCGGCTGATCCCATCACTGTCTGACTCCCTGTCCGCCTCACACCCACCCTGCATGCTCACGTTTCACCCACGCCAGGCCAACCAAGGGCCTGTAAAAGTTTAACTTTGTGCGATTGCACAACCGTGAAAGCTCAAGCTGATTTTCAGGATAATGAATGAGATTCTTCAGTTGCCTCATGAAAAAGTTTCCAGGGGAGGACAAACAGCGCAAGTTGTTGCAAACATCGGTGTCCTCGGTGTGGGTGAGGTGATGATACCTCAAGAGGCCGAAGGGGACACGCATTTGGGCCGCGTGGGGGCCTCGCAGGGTCTTGTGCTGTCTCCCTGTCTGATCCTTTGCTGAGTTTCTATCGTGAAGAATCCTTTTGGAGGGGGTAGATATGTTTGTCACTTTGTTGGGTTTTTTAAATTAATTTTTATTGTAATTGTTTTACGATGTCGTGTTAGTCTCTGCTGATGCTGCTAAGTCGCTTCAGTCGTGTTCAACTCTGTGCGACCCCATAGACGGCAGCCCACCAGGCTCCCCCGTCCCTGGGATTCTCCAGGCAAGAACACTGCAGTGGGTTGCCATTTCCTTCTCCAATGCATGGAATTGAAAAGTGAAAGTGAAGTCGCTCAGTCGTGTCCAACTCTTAGCGACCCCATGGACTGCAGCCTACCAGGCTCCTCCATCCATGGGATTTTCAGGCAAGAGTACTGGAGTGGGGTGCCCCTGCCTTCTCCGGTGTTAGTCTCTACTGTATACTGAAATGAATCAGCCTTACATATACATATATGTCCTCCCTTTGTACTTCCTTCCCCTTCAGGTCCCCACAGAGCACTGAGCAGGGTTCCCTGTGCTATGCGGGAGGTTCCCATAGTTATCTGTTTACACATAGTATTGACTCCATGCCTGTATCCATCCCAATCTCCCAATTCCTCCCACCTTCCCATGTTTCCCCTTAGTTCATAAATTTGTTCTCTACCTCTGTGTCTCTATTTCTGCTTGGCAAATAAGATCATCTATACCATTTTCCCTGATGCATATGGCCAAACTCATCAAATTATATACATTAGATATGTACAGATTTTTAATATCAATTTTACCTCAGTAAAGGTGTTTAAAAAAAAACTGCTTCCTCACTGAGTCAAAATCATGGTTCAGCAAATCCACTGTTCTGTCTCTGACTAATGCGGGCTCTGGGCGAGAAAGAGTAACAGGTTCCAGTTCCTGCCTGGCTCCTCTCAGCCTGTTGCTTAGCTTCTCTTTACTCATGATGGTGCTAATTCTGATGGATGCCACTCCTTAAGGCCAGCCCACCGCTTCCTCTCATCCTGACCTCTGAGGAAGTCCCCCAACCATTCCCATTGACTCCAGTTTGAAGTCTTCTAATCTCCCTTCCAAACTGCAATTGGACAAATCATCCTAA